TGGATGAGAAAATCCCTATTTTCTACCATTCGAATTCCCCTTAAATTTATTTAAGGAATCCAAAAAGAGAAGATTTCTTAACCAGATTTCGGAGATGTATGAAGATTCGAATTCCACAATCGTAGACGATCTATGTCCGATCCTATTCTGTTTTGCAGGTCTCATCAATCCCTTTATTCTAGAAGATTGATGAGAATTTGCCCGAATTACACGAGGCCAGATTTCGGAAATCGACTTTTCCCCCTATGTCGATGTCGACATACTCGACATGTCTCTCGACATTTTGAACCCTGACGACAGCACACAGTGATTTGCGCTTACCTTAAAGAGTTGTTGAGGCCTTGTTGGAAACTTCGCTTATAAATAGGAGCCATTTGCCTCTATCCCTGGTACGCGAACACAATATTTCTCTCTAGATACTGCTCGGACTCTTCCTGATTTGGACGTTAGAGTATTTTCTGTCTTGCAGGTCTCCTATTCAGCACTTTCCAACCCGTCTTCCATGTCATCTTCTGGTCTGGACCGAGGTTCGCAGCTTGGTCATTTTCGTGATCAAACATTAGTCTCTTTTGATTATTTTTTTAATTTAATCTTATATTTTAACATTTTTTAATTTAATTCCTCAAAAAAATATATGATAATAAACTTATATAGCATAATACTTAATGATAGTGAATTGACCGAAATTTAGAGAAAGGAAAAAATGATCCAAGAGATAAAAAAATTTGTATTCCTCCAAGTTTCAAAGAAATAGGTAAAATTTTATACTTTTATTCCCTGATAATATATATTTTCTTCTCCTCTGAATTTTCACCGACTCATTAAATATCATGTCACATAAGTTAATCATCAGCCACTTTAAAAATTTACCAATCGTGAGAGACTAAATTAAAGACGCTTAAATATAAGAGACTAAATTGAAACTTCAACCAAATGAAAAAAAACATGAGCATATATTCAACAAAAATGAGTGAAAATCAACCACAATATAGTTCAGCGGGATTAAGGCATATGTATCCAATCATGAGATTTAAAATTTAAACACTCGCCTTCACCTGTTGTACTAAAAAAGCTAAATTAAACGGCGGGAAAATGAGGTCCAGTGTAGTTGTGGTAGGACGTGCCCATGGCATTAATGCTCTAGAAGCAGTGTGGGGTCCACATTAGCTGAACCAATCAGCTAACCGTTTCCATGGTGACATTTAGCCAACCAGATGTCAACTTCAGATAACCGATCAGCCAATCAGATTGAAGTAATCAGCTACAGTACAGCAGACGGCTGGCCGGTTTGAGGCCGAATCAGAGCCGTTCATAACGTTGACTTTTTTCATGATGTTTTTCACGTCGGCTTTGACGTGTGTAGTACAGTTGGCAGTTGGTTGAGTACAAACTTCCAAACTTTATGTACTTATTATTAAGAAAATAAAATTGATTAATTTACAGTTTTATATTCACCAAAAAATAAAAAATATATAGATTTAAATTTTATCTTAGTTTCTATCATTTTGATTTTATTTTGATTTTTGTATTTATAAAATATTCATTTTGGTAGTTTATCTTAGTATTTGTACTTTTAAAACATTTATTTTAGTCTCTAATAAGTTGACTATTTTTATCCATTCATTATCATTTTTATCTCATTTATTTCTATTGAAATTTTATAATGACATTTTCATTTAATAAATTTCTTAAAATGTAACAATAAATTTGTATTAAAATATTTTCATTTACGATTTATATTAAAATTTTGAAATAGAGACCAAAATAGTCACTTTTTAAAAATACAAGAACAAAAATATGTTTTAAAAGTACAAGGACTAAAAATAAACATAAATTGAAAGCATAGATACTAAAATAAACGAAGACTAAAAGTATATAAATTAAAACAGTATTTAAACCAAACGTCTATTTTTATCCTAAACTTTGTAAGGTTATTGTAAACTTTTAGTTTCATCAAATTTATCGTAAACTTGAATAAATATTACAATTTTTACCTTTTGGTAGACTTTTGTTTAAAGAATCGTCAAAACAAAATAAAATTTTGATTACGTGCATTTAGTGAATTATGAAACACACATATATATTTTTTATTGATTTGATAGGATTTAAGGAAAAATTAAACAATATTAGAGAATTTTTTGTTCTTTTTTGTTAGTTTAAAATTTGAGTTTTGGAAGAGTTTGTTAATATTTGATATTATGGATTAATCAAGCTTACTTTATGTTTGGAAATACCATAAGCTACATGCGAAAAATTTTATCCTTCTAAAATATTAACTTAAGCATGAATCATCTGATCAAATATATCGTCGAATTGAGTATAGCTTAACAATTGCATTAGTAGCTTTTCTTTTTTTTTTATCAGTCAAATCATTTATGCATAGTTGGTTGTGAAAATTTATCTTTATGACCAACCTTTGTTTCTTGGTTTAAAAATACTTTTGTTATCTGTAATTTAATAGAAAACCGACTTAGCCCCTCAATATTAATTTGTAACGATTTAATTCATATATTTATTTTATTTAAAATTTGTAATGATTTAATCCCAGTGTTAAAATAGTTGTTAAGATTTAATATGATTTAGTTGTAAAAAAAAAACTAAATTTTGATGAGGATAATTATTGAAAAAAATTGTTACATAGTTCAATGATTAAATTATTATTAATTTGAAATTATATAGAATGAGAAACTAAAATAAAAGGATTAAATGGTTACTCTGATAAAAAGCGAGGTACCATTTTTTTTAATTTTTAAAGATTATAATAGAATAAATATGGAGAAATGTGTCATACCGTAGATGGAAAGAGGTGCCTATTTCTTTCGAAAGTACGTAATTGACTTAACCATATATATTAATAAAATAATAGAAGATCTAAAATAAAAAAAAGTAAATCAATAAATCAATAAATTTTTTGTTGGTAGGATTTTAAATTAAAAATTGCAATCGAGTGGCTGATTATAAAATGTTTTGTTTCAAATTCCGCTCCCCGAAAACGATGACATCAAACGGTCATTTATATCTAAAAGGAGAATTTCATTTTTAAGAAAATAAGTTTCTGCTTGTTAATTTTGTTTCACTCTATAGGAGGTTTATTTTAGTTCATATACTTTTATTATTAATATTAGTTTGTATACTTTCTAAATTATTAATTTTAATTTGTATATTTTTAAAATGTTAGATTTTGTAGATACTTTTTAAAAGCGTAATCATTTTATTTTAATTTTATCTTACTTATTTCAATAAAAAAATTACTATGATGTTTCAATTATTAAAAATGTTGAAATGTAGTCATAAATTTGTATTAAAGAGTTTATATTGTGATAAATTTTGTGTTAAAAATTGACAAATAGGAATCAAAATGACCAATTCTTAAAAATAGGTTGAAAAACACGTTTTCTTTTGGTATTTTCACTAAAGTAATGATTTAGTCTACATTTTGTCATTACCAGGAAAAATCTCATCAAAATTAAACGTCAAATTTTATCATATAACGATTTAGTATTTGTAAATTATAAATATATTTGGTCTCTCGTTGATTTATTAATTTACATATAAAAGAAACTTAACAAAAACTTTCACAATATAGATTAAATCATTACAAACTTTATATTACAACGACTAAATTATTACCGGTTAAAAGTTACTGCACTAAATTGTTTACTAATTTAATAATATAACCAATAAAATTTAAACATTTATAATTTATACAACCACTAAAAATTGCATACTTTATTTTTTCTTTTTCTTTTCTCGATGTGGATTTTGATGAATAGAAAAAGAAATCCACATGGAAAAAAGCAATCTCATTTAATTTGTTTTTTGCCCTTAAATCTTCCACATGGCAAGCATTCATTGGAAGCTTAGCAACTAAGCTCTCCTTCCCTTCGAGAGAATTAATTGGCCTGTATATTAAAACCTTCTCCAGAAGACGTTCGAATTCGAGCCAACTCAACAAACCCAGAGGTGGTTCTTTATTCCTCCTCCATTGGAGCCATTCGAGCTTTTACAGCATCCACCCACCAACCACTTTCTCTCCAATTCCATCTCTAAACGACACCCATGTGGTTCTGTTAGCGATTTTCTGTTCAATTTGGGCCAGCAATGGAGCTCCCTGATGGGTTCCGGCGAGGAGTTTTGACCGCGGTGCTTCTGGGTTTCGCTTTTTTGGGT